CATCTGTGCTACTTAAATATAAATCAAATTAACTTGGTTGCAATAAATACAAATCAAATGAAGTTGGTCGCAATAAATTCATAAAAGCAGTTGAATTATTTGCACACACTGTGTAAAAAAACTCTGAATTAGTACCAGAAATTAGTCAAACCCACTTTTTTTTGTTGTCACTGATAGAAAATAGAAAAAAAAAATAAAAGAAAAAAATTTTGTTTGCTCAGAAGACAGAAGGCAAAGGAAAATAAAACAAGAGAACAACCACATGAATAATCCTGTAAAAAATCCCAATTCAGCCCCAGAATTTCCTCAGCTGCAGCTCAAATGAAACCCTGAAAAAATGCCCAAATTCTGTCACTCGGGCAGATCCTCTTTGCACATTTCCCCTGCTGATTTTATATTTTGAAAGGGTTTTTTTTTGGAAGTTTTGTCCCAACCAAACTCCTCCAGAGGGTAAATCCCTGAGATTTGAGAACCAGGGATGGGATATCAGAGCTGGAATGTGCAGTGCTGGGAGGGGGAAGGGAGAGGCAAAAATGCTCTTTGGGAGAAATTCAGAGTTTGCTTCTCATTCCCGAGGGTCAGGAGCACATTAGGAATTATTTTGGAATGTCCATGCCCTGATGGAAAAAGAATTTCAGTTCCCAGCTTTACCACCTGATTTGTTTTTTTCACCCCAAAATTTCAAGGTTTTAAGCCCTCTTCAACCTTCATTCAGAACATTCAGATTTCTTTTAAAAATTGACTGATTAAGCACAAGTGTCACCTCAAAACAGACCTTAAAACAGGGATTAACTTTGAATCAACTCAAACTCGAGCTGGGAGAGTTGCAGGTTAAAACCAAGCAGAAACACTGGGAGATAATTACAGAGGGATATAAAATTAGGATTTACAGAGGGATATAAGATTAGGAATTATTCTGGAATGTCCATGCCCTGATGGAAAAAGAATTTCAGTTCCCAGCTTTACCACCTGATTTGATTTTTTCACCCCAAAATTTCAAGGTAATTACAGAGGGATATAAAATTCCAATAAATCCATCCTTTCCAACATGTGCTTTGCCTCAGAAACAAACAGAACTCTGTGATTTTTTTAAGCAGATTTATCTGGACCTCGCCAGCCCCTGAAGGAATCAGGACTTTCACTCTTGCAGGATTTTAGCGATCAAACTCTCCCCCCCCTTGACAAAGTTCATGTTTGCTCTCCTGAACTAAAGCAAACAAAGCAAAATAGCCAATTAGCTGTTAAATTAATCAAGCACGGGGGGGTGCTTGATTAATTTATTAAGAATTGAGCATTCCATTCTGCTCCGTGGGTTAAACATCATTAAAAAAAAGGCATTTAAAGTTGTCATTTGCATGGCAAACRAGGAATGAACTAATGATAATTTCCAACAATGTTATTAACCTCAATTAATGAAGAAAAAAAAAAAAGCCCAGCTTTAATTTATTCTAAAATAAAAAAGTTAGATGAGGATAATTCAAACGAGGGGGATATTAAAGTGGTGGGAAGGATGGGAAGCTCAATGCACAAATCCCTCAGTTCTACACAAAATTACTCCCAAAATTTCCAGACATTCACACCAAGCCTCGGGACATTTTTCTCCTCAAAGCTGCCAGTCCAGGTTTGACATCTCAAAGCTACAAATTAAGATTTGAAAAGCTGCTGAGGGCTGGGAGGAGCAGCAGCCACACACACACA